ACGTGCAGGCCTCGGAGCAGCGCGCCTGGGGAACCCGCTCCTTCCATGAAACCCAGCGCGGTCCCTTCTGTTAAGAGTCAGGTCCTGACGTTGAATACAGGCTGGTGTCAGATTTGGCACTCGTCTCCGCATTAACCGTTGCGGGAAAAAATAGTATTTCTTTTGTAAAGTCAGCCGTTTTGGCTGTCCTTATAGGCTGCACCATCCATCTATATTTTCGTCTTCCTGCAGGCGTGTTAGAACTCGTGTGACTGTGGGTATTGCAGCTGAAGTAAACTTAACATGTAATGAAGAAATCCCATTAAATATTTAAGTAAAACAGTACGAAGCCACCCTTTGAAAACTGTAAAATTTATCATTTGTTTAAAAGCTCAAATATCTGACTTTTAATTTCTTTTTAGTTTTAGAATGGGGAATAGTTGGCCTACTTCTGTAGAGCTGGCTAATGATGCTGCTGTGAATCAAATACAGGTAACATTATTTATGCAATACTTATTTTCTAAGTAAAAACCTTTAAAACTTTTAGAGTTACTTAAAAGCTCTTCTGTTTTATAGAAAGAAATTCCATAAATAGTTTTGCACGTTGAACCTGATTCTTGTGTTTATTAAGCAATACTGGCAGTATTTATCCACAGCCTTGGAACCTGATCTTCCTAGGCTGCATCCATTTTGCCTTTTTTTCAGACCTCTTTTAAATTCGGTACTGCTATCAATGTTGGGGATTAAACCTGGCAAAATGACTGATACTAAGCAAAGTAAATATTTCACGAGTAAGTTGTTTTTTAAAGTAAATTTACTGAAACTAAATGACCCCCTGAAATTACCTTGAATTTACAGTAAAGTAATAGGTGTGTTTCTTTCTCCCACTCAGAACTCTTTTTGCCACTGCACTTGCCACCGGCACCTCCCGTTTGGATTACGGACAGGGAAGGCTGTACTAAATAATTCAAGGAGATGCAGCTTTGTTTGGCAGACTGTAAGAGGTCTGTGACTGCTGAACGCAACAGGGTTCAGGGTTGGCACCATTGCATGGCAGTCTTACCACGTGCTCCGCAATCATTCTGCTCAGTTTTGGAGTCGAGTGCAGGTGATACACAGCTTCAGGGGTGCCAGCAGTGCTTCTGGTAGAGATCGCTAACGCCAGCTCTCCTCCATTTCTCTGCACCCACAAGAAGAAGATGATCATAGCATTCCTGAAAGTTAGACACTGCTAAGTTTTAACTGATTCCAGGTATTTTACACAAAGAATAGAGCATACGTTTTACTGAAAATTTTAAGTGGAGTAGGAGAAGTTACTTTATCTTCTATATAGTTCTGCAAACTGCTGAAGTTGTGCCTCACTGCCTGCTGCACTGGTACACAGATGCTCTTCGGGATCTGGCCAAGTGCAACTGCACTTTTTGAGGTCGAGAGTCTAACTTTCTTGGTAGTCAGGTAGGAAGCAATTTTTATTCTGATGTGAAAGTATAGGATGCATCCCTAAAGGAGACACTAGGCCACCGTAGGGGTGTTCAGAACAAATGTGGGGTGGATAGGTTTTGCACCCACCATACAGGTGATGTCTTCTTGCCTGATGCCTTGATAGAAGTCACTGTTCTGCTCCTTGATTTAAAAGAAAAGGAGTTCATTCCTTGCCTTAAGATTCGTGTGGCTCTAGATTAGAAGTAGGGAAAATTTAGAAGCTAAACTAGCTTTTCATTTTACCTTAAAAAAAAAATAAGGTACAGTGTTTTGGAAGATTCTTCAGAAGCAGCCAGCCATCACTGTAGCATGGCTGGGAACTCCTCGGTTGTCCCCGTTGAAAATACTTCAGAAAAACTTTTACAGAGAGTAATCTTCCATATTTGTTACCATAATAGCAGATTTTTAACTTCTGTATTTGTGTTCATGACTGTTTAGTACTGTTGAAATACATTAACTTGAAAACAAAACACGCTGACTTGAACATTCTTTTGAACATACAGGAGATTATTTCAGACAACTGTGTGGTGATTTTCTCTAAAACAACATGCTTCTATTGCAAAATGACAAAAAAACTTTTTGAGGGTATGAATGTAAATTATACAGCTGTAGAACTGGACATGAATACAAATGGAAGTCAGTTCCAAGATGTTCTTGAACAGATGACTGGTGGCAGAACAGTAAGTATATTTTCTCACATGTAATAAGCAAAGTAAGAACTTATACTACACATGTTCCTCGTGGGTTATGACCATATCAGAGTCTTCATTTTTTTGAGATGAGCAAACTTGGGATACAAGCTCCTAAATCAAAGACAAGGTACTGCAGGAGGGTTCTGTACTGTCTCCTCCTCTTGAGAGCCTCTGGCCATCCCTCTGAGGTGATCTTTTCCATACTGCCACTATAATAATTGAAGTATCGAAGCAGTTTTCATTTGTATAGGCATATTGAATCCATTGTGTTTAACACTTAACCTTGTAATTTCTTAATTTTGTATAGTCTCACTTGACTCGATTATTCTATTACAATCTCCCATACAATGACTTTATCCCACTTTTGAGGGGCACCTGAACAAGGTTTCCCACCTCTGTAAATATTATGGAAATGTATGAGTTGTACAGTAATATTAAATATGCATATGTAAGAACATGACTATTGTGTGTATACCAGAATCCAGGTAGGCTTGCTGATATATTTGTATTTTCCAACAAGTAACTAATGCAATTTTCATTTTCTTGATAGGTGCCAAGAGTGTTTGTCAATGGGACTTTTGTTGGAGGTGCTACAGATACTCAGAGACTTCACGAGGAAGGCAAACTGCTTCCATTAGTTCATCAATGTCAAGTGAAAAGAAAAAAAAACCCTGAACAGCCATCTAGCTTAGCTTAATTTTAGTTTGTATAAACAGAATTTCAGATAAGTTAGAAGATCACAAAGATACACTACATCAGCTGGACTCAGCAACTTCAAGCCATGGATTTCTGATTCAGATCATTCTCTGACACAGACTTTATGGACTTGGCAAATTACTTGGTGTCCTTGCCTCAGCTTTACCATATCCAAATTGGTGATAGAAAACATTATGTTACTCTTGGGGCTGTAAGTGTGAGATAGTGATGTCATTTTATTGCTATTGCATCCTGATACGATGCTTTGGAGAAGTATAGACTGTACAAGAAGAATCCTGTTTTGTTGGGTTTTTTTCTGCAAAGTAGTTTGCTTTCTAGCTTTGGTCCAATAGGTACAATAAATGGTCAGTTTAATTTCAAGGTCCCTTTAAATTTAGTTCTTACCTGAATGTCAAATTGTAAAAACAGCAGCAAAACAAGTTTGTAGCAATATTGCTGTATGCATGTCTGCCTCTCTTACATGTCAGTGTCTGATCTAGCTACCAAATTGTATGTCCAGGTGCTATAGAAAAGGGAATAAAGATTCTTGCAGTTGGAGAGGGGTAGGCAATTGCTTTCATCTTCACTCTGCACTATGAGGTATCAGTCGGGGAGCCAGACAGCTCGCTGTCACTGAACTGTGCAGCTACAAACTACATCATGATCAATCCAACACTATGATGAAACTTAAGACCAAGTAAAATGGGTCTAATATGCATAGAGTTTATTTAGTACTTAAATTCTACAGTTGGAATGCAGTTTACTAGCGATTTTAACTGGCAGTTAAATTTCTAAAAGAAATGTCTGAAATTCAATAGTTTCAGTACAATGTACACCCAAAGCCAGACCAGGCAATGCCAAGACTCTTGGTTATTTCAAGAAAGATCATATGCAAGTAGAAAATTACATCGCATTTTTTCAGTAAAAGGGACCGTTACACTACTAAAGGTGCACAGTTTAGAATAAAAGCATTAGTCAATGAATTTTTACTCAGTTGTTGTGAATGACTCCTGTTGTTTCCATTGCTTTCAGCACTGCGTGCACCTAAACTACTTTTTTCTCCTCGGGGGAAAAAAGTATCACATTTATCTTCAACGCCAGATAAGCAGGGCTGCAAGAGTATCATTTAAGTTTGACAGCTTCATTTTTGTGGTGGGGGTTTGAAGTAAGTTTAAACCGCGCCATTTCTGTAGAAAGTCTTTAGTATACCGTTACCTGCACTGTGCATCTTTAATGTGTAATGAGCTGATTAAACACACTGGCCTCATAATATTTTTGTTATTGCTGTTTACTCTATTTTGCTAGTTTCATCACTGCCTTATTAAAATTTTGCTTACAAGGACACACTCATCAAGGTAAACACCCACACAAATGTGCATCTCTTTAAATTTATACTTAATAAAGCAGTTTATTTTGCACATACAGTGATAACCAAGTATTCTTTCTCTCTGTAAAATTCTTAGGCCAGTTATGTTTTCTCATAAACAATAATTTTGCACCCGAAAGGTAGTAAATCCATCATGTAAAAATAGTATGCAAAGGAATTTTTCAAAGACCTTTTTGTTTTGTTCCCTGTTTTAAAAAAAAAAAGTCCCAAAACAGTAGTCTAAAATAACCCTTTGAGTTCTAAGTTTCAGAAATCCCAGGGCATTGTCACTTAAGGCAATGTTCCATTCCAACTGTTGAGAAAACATGCTGTATGCCTGCAGATCCAAGTGAGTGCCCGTTTATTAAAGAAGGTATGTTTTAAGGCACTCAAAGGGTTAATTATGTTTCTATTTAACCATATTAAGGCTTCCCATCCAAATAGTTTTTCATTAATGTTGTATCATTTCATAGAAAGTAGCAGCAAGACAATGCCTTCATTATTGGATGGCACAAAGCCACGTTATGTTTAAGGTAGTTAAACATGATTTGGTGGTTAAAGTGTGGTTCTACTCTAGAAAAAAGACAAAAAGCGACTCAAAAATAGTCATTAAAAATTTCCATATTTTTTGCTTAGCACTGTCTGGCAACAAACACCAAGTTATTAACTAAGCAGATAGAGCTGTGAATGTGCCTATCTGTTGCTGCTTTATACAGAATTATTTTTAAAGAGTAGAACTGCACTTTTATAGAGGAACCTAACAGAAAAGACTTTTATTTGTAACTAGTTGTGCTTAACTCCAAAAAGCTGGTAACATTAGGAAAACAGCTATTTATATTCATTATTTGTTAATGAAGCATTTGTAAAAGTTCCCAACATACCAAATATATATATGCAAATCTGTATCTATTTAAACTTAAATTCAGAATGCGGAAATACCTAAAGAAACCACGCTTTACAGTATCAAAATTATAAATCCAAATGTAAGCACGCATATTTAAAGACACCATACCTTCTGCTGAAATTAGCTAACCTTAAATCTTAGCTCTCAGAGCAGCGCATACATAATACGCTGTCCTAGTGTTTTACCTTTCCCTCGTAACTCTTACTCAGCAATGTGATACACTATACCGATGAAATCTCTACCACTCCAGCAATAGTCATTAAAACAGATTGCTTACAGCGTATTTGCCCACTGTGAACCACTGCAAATAGCAAAATAAACCTATAAACTGATGAAATGCTTAAAAAGAGATGAAAAGCGCAAGCAAGACAAATGATTCTTTGCTTAGGCCTACTTCTACATATTCTTTGAAGATTTTCTTTAATCAATACTGCAAAGAAACTGCCCATTTATCCAGAACATTAATTTAAATGTTTTCCTAATTCTGTATGTAACAGCAGCTTGATAATATTTAACAGAATGGGAAGCTCCAACCCACTGAACTAATTCTAGAAAAAAAGCTTGAAATTTGAAAAGCTAATTTTAAAATTTACTTCATTACTTCATAAAAACAAAGCCATTCACAGGCAGAGGTTGGATTTTTGTAAATAAACAAAGTATACTTTTGTCACTGATCTTTACACAAAGTTTTACCAAAAATCTGATAGGCAGAGCAAATTAGATGTTTTACAAGAGATTTACATAATCAAAGGAAAGAAAAAAATTTATCCAGTTTTTTAAAATTATGACAAATACTATGACATCAGTTCTGGTATAAGTTATTTAGCTAAGCTAGTATGCTCAGCGACAGCAAGAAGGCAGATGAAGAACAGAGGCAAAAAAAAAAGGAATGGATGAGAGTTTGTATGTGAAGAGAGATTGAAGTATAGGCCTGAGGTGACAAGCAGATGAGGAAGAAGAAAAAAGCCAACATTAACAGAGAAAAGGAAGGGCAAAGCAAAAAGGTAACACAAGAAACAAAATAAATGGAACCAACACTAATGCTTCTGGTGTGGCGGCTATGAGTTAGGTACGTGCTTAAGCAGCACAGCATTTTGCAACGGAGAAAAATATTTCCCTAGTGTTTTTACAGACAGGGCCATTATTAAAATATATTTCCAACACCGCTCGTGTATTTTTTAAGCCAAGAATATATACATCGTTGATTAGCTTTTATAAAGCCATTTATGGGCCCCAATTAAACAACAACAATGAAGAAGAACACCACAACCCCCCTAATGATTTATGTTTAGTAAACAGGTTTAACAGTGGTTTTAAGCAGCAAGACACTTCAGGCCCAGTTATTAGTGGCCCTTCATTGGGTGCTTAGAGTGGCCCTGCTGACCTCCGATTTACACCTACTTTTAGACTTTGCTTTTTGAAACACGTAGGATTGTAGGTAAAGCCCCCGTATTTTCCCTGTAATCTAATTCTACAAGCATCCCAAACTCTTCCTCCTCCTTGCTACAGGTCTAAAATTCCTGACACGAAATTCTATTTCTTGGCAAAATTATTACTGTCTTTGTTCAATTTATTACACAATGCTGATGTATGCATTGCATGATTTTTAAGAAATCTTGAGTGCCTTCTTCCCTCTCCATATTCTTGATTTGTATCCCTTCCATGAAGAAACCTGACCTTTGAAGTTCATTTGTTACAGCCCTTTACTACAGAAGAATGTTTTACCTCTTCTGTGCTTCCAAAAATTACAACCTTTTCTTCTTTCTTAAAGCTAAAGTGCCTCAACATTATAGTCTTAGACATAATAGTCTAATACTTAAGAATTGTTAAGAGGGTCACAGTGAATGGCAGTCAAACTGAAAGCCTGTTCATTCTGATATCAGGGAACCTGTATTCACCCAGTCTGCTGCACTCTGCATTTAGACTTTTTATTTTAATTAATGTTTTCAATAAAATTAAATATCTTCAAGCTTGTCCCTATTCAATTTTTACTGGGAAACTGCAGTTCACAATTAGAGGTCCATTTTTGTTTTGTTAGTCTCAGTGTTCCTCCAATACAAGCACCACTATTAACTTGAAAGAGTCCCTGTCTCCTCTTTGGTGAAAGGGTAGGTTATTTTTTGTATACTGAACTAATGCTTAAGCTTAGCAACTTTGTCTTAGCTTACTTACTTATTAAAAAAAAAAAATGACAGTAATTATTGCCTCTTTACATGTCCAGATATAGTTTTGGAAATTATCAGTTTAAGAACTAAAGACTAAAATCAGGACAAATTTATGTTATGGCAAATGAGTCTTATATGGGCAGATAAAAAAAGATCCAGCCTATAGAAAAAAAAAATATGCAGAATCATTCTTCTATGCCCCTTACTGTGAGATAAGAACAAAACCAGACAGAAAACAGTAGAAACTAAGGTCAACCCGCTGCCAGCATTTACTTGTTTGCCCTCTCTGTGAAATCTTAAAGGAGGAACAGATGACAACATGTGCTAGTTTTACATTGGATAACCCAACCACTTCGAATATTCTAGCAAGACTTTTTAGTACAGAGATATACAGTAAACATTTATGAGCATATTATGTACTCCAGCATGGATGACTACCTTTAACATGGTGCATAGCTATCCAGTGTCAACAGATACAGGCAGCTACATTTTCTATAAGTTCTACTGAAAAGTTCATCTTCACTTACACTCTAGTTCAAAGACTTGTATTTTAAACTGGACTGCTTTCAAAAATGCAACACTACGATAACCGTTCATTCAATCTGTTAGTAACTAGTCTAATCTTTTTCTTGCAGTAAATTTATACAATTAACTGCACAAAGTTACTTGAAATACCTGTTTAAGTTTTCATTTTATATTTAGTCCAAAATACTTCCTATTACTTCACAAATACTACTCCAAATAAGAAAAAGTACTTGCAAAAGATACTTATCTATCAGTTATTTTGAACATCTCTAGCTTAGAAGGAAACACCTAATCAGATGTTTGACTATTGTGTAATTTAAAACACATTACTACCAAAACCAACCCCAAAATATTAGTGCGTTTACTTGAAATAATTATTAACATGTATTGAGTAAATAAGTTTACTCCCCATATTCATGGTGTTTATTTAGAAAGGAGACGAAAAGTGATAAGAAATTTTTCATAAGAAACAGGTAAGTTTCTTTTTCAAACTCAAAGTGCTACGTCTCAGCTGCTGTAGGAACACTTGTTTTTTCTAGACATCACCTGACAAGCTGGTGGCAGTCCTGCATCCTTCAAGCATTCTACCAGAGCTGTATCGTAAGAGCAGTGATAATTCAAGAGTAATGACATTCATGTCTGCTGAAAGGTAACATTCCTACCATCAGTTCTTTAAGCCATGGTTTTAATATCAGAAAAGGCTTCTGTCACTGTTTTGATTTATTTGTTAAGGTAGAGTATAAGTATGTAGAAGAATACCTTCAATAACATGTAACCTCAGATTTTAGCACCAAAAGAGATATCCATCCTACAGAATGTGAGCTTTGAATTTATAATCAATATGTAAGAGGCATAATGGACAGTGTTACAAGTATCAAAAGTATAATATGAACTTGAATTTTACATTTAAAAGCTTGGGTTTTAGGCAGAAAAATATGGTCTTATATGTCACCACAACTGGGTTATTTTTATAAATCATAATTATTTTCAAATTAACATCAAATTCAATGTTTAAAACAGCCAGAATTAGCGTAAAAGACATGTCTTAGGGGAAGTTGTAAAAGCATCACTAAAAAACTCTCTCATCTTCTACGACTGTGATCTACTAAAGAGATCTTTTAACTTCCCCCCTATATACACATACATAAAAACACACACAGAGAATTAAATATATATACACATGAATCGCTATCAATTCCTGTTCCGAAGTGATAAAATATTCACTAACTTTCTCCTTATTTATTCACACTCTTACTATCACACTAAAAAAAAAAAAAAAAATCCAGTTTCAATCACTTCCTAAACAAGGTTTTGAGAACGTGAAAGAGGCAACTGTACACTTCATAAAAGTTTTTAAGAATTGGTCACTATAAACTGGAGGTAGTTTTGAAAAATGTTAGCTTGAATTAATTTACGAAATCAGAAGTAACATTAATCTACAAAAAGATTTTTAAAAATGAAATATTCTCCTGTTAGGAAGATTGTTTCTGTACTGAATACATCCTTTTGAAGAAAATGTAGCTTTTTGCTTCTGGTTATTACCACTCAGCTTTCAAGAGCAGGCCAAGACTCATGCACTTGTTGATCTTCTTCACTGAAAGTGTGCTGATGCTTCCTGCAGTTATAACATGGACTGAATGTGGCTTCCCAGCCATTTCCAAGGTCTTTTTCTATTAAAAACAGTTTTTAGAACTTCCTGTAAACCGTATTAATACTAAAATAGTGCTTCTGAAACTGCATTGCACAGAAATTTCCCCTCAATTTATCTAAAGAGAATTATACTTTACTCCTGAAAAGCCAGATGATAATCTAGATAGAAAAAGATTAGCACAAGCTCTTCCACTTTCAGTTTTATCAGTATAAAATTTCACTGGGTAACTTTTATACTGCATCACAGTCACATGGTCTCATATGTGTCAGAAAATACTTCTTTTGTAGATTTCAAGTGTAACAATGGAAACTGTTGTACCTTAGTAATTTGTTTAAAATACAAAGATGAAAAAAAGCCAAAACAAAAATCCCTCTCAATGAAGTTGCTGTAAACTGACATTACTAAAAATACTGAACCTACTTTTTTTCCCTGCCCTATCCTGAGAGTAATTCATCAATTTATTCTTGCAAACAAGCATTCCACAGCAATGGGGTGGGGGGGAATTAAAAATCTCTCAGTATTTATAATCTATTAGAAATGAAATTAAGTTTTGTATTGTGTAACCCTGTAGCTACTTCTAGCAAACTTCCCACTGTTATTTTAAGTTGTGTGGAACAGGAAAAAAGAGAAAAGAGATTTCTCATCTGCTTTTCTTGTTTTCTCTTCACAAAAAGGTAACATTCTGATATGTATATAATGTGCCATATTCTCATAAAGCATATTTGGCTGGAAGTTCCCAGGGTGAAGTCTGTTGCCAGCAATGGACCCATTGGGAAGAGCAGATGCCTAGAAAATTAAATCAAATCCAAAGTGAAGTTTCGAATAACATCCAAAGCTCCTGTATCAAAGCCACATATATCCAACATGCCTCTGTCATCTGGATCTGCGATCATAAAACCATTTGAGGTCATTCCACAAACAATCAATTTAGCAGGAATACCCATTTTCTAGAGGAAGGACAAAAAAAAAAAAAAAAAATCAGTACACACATATACAGTAACTTAAACAGTTAAACAGTAACTAAACTTAAACCCCCAGAGGGTCAAATCTTGCTATCTTGCTTGCATAAACCACTGTCTGATTAGGCATACTGATAGAAACTAGATATGCCATAAGCAGAATTGCAGACTGCCTATTATCATGGTACTTAACCTGCAGCAGACACATTTAAATAAATGGAAATAATTGCAATGTGGTATATTAGCACAACTTTCTTGCAATACTAAGATTCATCGATTATTTCAAATGCAAACACTCCATTTGCTATTCTGCAGTTCATTCTGAGAGAAAACTTTCAATAATATTTATCAAATCATCTAATAGGAGTCAAAGAGTGTGCTTTTGTTAAGGCAGGATTTCCAAATGTTGGTTGAAGAAATCCAACAACTGTGGCCTGGACAATTCTGCTAAATGAGCTGAATTTGCAGGTTAGTAACCTGTAAGGTAAAGCAAAGCAAGTGGCATGAAGGCCAGAGTACAGGAACTCTGTTTAAAGAACAAATTTAGGAATGGGAGCTAATCACAACTAAGAAAACTAAAACACAGTGGGCAAGTTAAAGAGTTTTGGTATTAATTTCAACTGGGTGGACATGATATGAAGACTAACGTCCATACATATAAGCTTGCCAAAAAGTATTTTTTGTAGTTTACAAAATAGTTCTTTTAAAGCATAAAAGATTGCTTGCTAATTAAATAAGAGTATCTAATAGCAATGTGCTTGGAGAAGATATTTTTCTTAATTCTCGTTTAAAATTATCAAGCTGCACACCTTAGTGTAGCCTCTTTAAAACATAATGAGCTTTCCTCACAAGATGCTATCACCCCATCCTATTGACACCTTCCCTAATTTAAACTTTGTGGTATCTACTGCAGACATCACAGTTAAATTTAATTCTGAGAGCCAAATTTCGTTCTGTAAGAACTATTTAAAAAACCTTATTTAATCAATTATATATAGAATGCAGAAATTAATATATTCTCTGAACACCAAACAAATTTTCATTGATACTGCAGTACACCTAGCAGGATAGGATAATTACAAATCCTTTTAGTAATTCAGTGGTTTTAAATACGCCTGATTCGTGCAATGTGTGCACTAATCCCACCTAAATGCAGAATATATTAGGTTTTAACTATACATAATTACGTACTGAAAAAGCCACAACTAGTTCAGTTTCTAAAACATGTTTAGAACTGGTATTTATTTTGTACTGTACTCATCAACTATAAACAGAGTGTATTTACCTCTCTGTACTCTCTAAGAGCTGTTGCAGGATGAGTATTTCCAGCAAAGGTCTCATTATCAGTAAATACAATGAAGACATCAGCAGCTGTCTGAGTTTTCTGAGCCCATATCATTGGAAGGGAACAATCAGTGGTACCCATTGGAATCTTAAAAGAAAAAAAAAAAATACATGGAACATATTAATACAGAAATTAGTAAACCATGGCAAAATTACTTTTGATGTAAGCTTCATGTTTATCACACACAGAGGTTTCTTAAAAAACAGTTCACTTATTCATTTCATTTCAGTTTTGTCTAGCGGGTTTTTTTGTTTGATTTTTTAAAATATTCTTTTCAAACTTCATTGTGACCCAACATTGCCATTCTAAATTGTAGTATTTAATATCCGGCAGTTGAAATAATGACATTTGCTGGACTTCCTCTAAAAAAAAAAAGGAGGAGGAAAAAATCCAGTGTTTTACTATATAGATACAGACTAAACACAGTGTTAGAATTTATTACAAAGAAAATACAATGTAACTGCCGAGGCTTCTAAATGTTAACATTAGCAACAGCTATTTCCTTTTTTTTTTTTTTTTTTACATACTTCATACATTTTCACTAATACTTGAGGCAACGTCATATCAGCCGTCACAGGGCAAGGGACCATTTCATGTGAAAAGGCAACAATGTGGGAATCCTTCTCAGTACGTGCTACAACCTGAGAAAGAGGAAGACAAAAATAATTTAGTTATATTATTCAGAATTTTTAATGTCTGAATCAAGGCATTCCCTACCAAACACACAACATGACATATTCTTCTGTATTTAACTCATATGCACTAACGCTTCACTTTACACCTTAAGTATCTGTAATATTACTGCAGATAAACATTGCAAAAATCAGAGCTAAAGAACGGCTCTAATTACTGTAACTAAAGATACTGCCATATTTCTTCACTCCCCTCTGACATAAAACACTAAACATTTTCAAACACCAACACAAGTTTGACTCCTCTGTCATATAAATACACAAGAAGCTTTCGAACATCAAATTGAGGGGAAAGGGACTGTGATACAAAGGCTGTATTGATAACTCAAGTGTACCCAAGAATTATCCCAAAATTTCTTAATCCAATCTGTATTATTCTACGAACGCTTCTGAAAAAAATTTAAAAGTATTTTCATCTAAGATAAGTGAAAGAGCAGCCTTGACCACTTTGATTTATAGTGGAAACCAGCTTCTTAAAACTGAGCTTTCTGAATTTGGTTGCCAGTAGCTTTAAGCATCTGGTCTATCATTGAGGCACAAGGGCACAACTTCTGTACCCAGAAAATAGTATATGTAAGTTTCCTTCTGATTTCTAACCAGCTTTAGTGCACCTTTGTATCAAAAGAGCAGCTCAAGCTGCAAATAGCTATAAATGAAAGAAGTTTAATGCCTCACCATACACATTGCTGCTGCAACTGTGCTAGCATTGAGCACGCTGCCCAAAACTTTTTGTGTCATTGATGCACTGACATCAACTGCAAGTAAGAAGCGTTTTCCTGTTGGTTCAACTGTCTAAAAGGAAAAAAAGAAAAAAAAAAGAAAATAGATATACATAATTAATATACTAATTTCTTCTTCCTTCTGCTTTAAACCCTAGAAGTGAGGCTTTTTTTTTTATTCTTTCTGGGGTAACATTAGGACAATAATGTTGCCAAAAGCTGAATATATTATGATGTTTTGATTCTTTGTTTAATAAAATCCCAATTCCTAAGATTATTTTTATACAAAGTTTCAAAATTTTTATCCAGCCGACAAACATTTTATAAGTTTATAATTTTATAAGCTTTCAGAAAACAGAGAATTCTTAAAAAGCTTAACAAATTGAAGAACTGTGTTACCTTGAAAGTTTTGTAAAACGAGGCATTTAAAGCTTCTAAAATGTCTTCATCAGGACGCCACCAAAGCTTCCCTCTGCTTCCGTGCCCAGCTTTATAGGTTTCTAATGCAACCAAAATATGGAATGGATGTATTCTACCCTACAGGCAAAAGAAATCAACAGAAAGTTTTTGAAAATCTGAACTCTTTAAAAAAAAAAAAAAGTAACAAACTAAAACTAAGATCCTAGTATAAAAATAAATGGTTTAGTATTTTGTTACCTTAAATTTGTTAAATTTGAAGAGTTCATGCAGTCTTTACACATCTGTTATATGAACTAATACTTGTCAGTTAGTGGTAATGGATCTCATTCCCTTTACAGAGCCCTCCAATGAATTCCAAATATTATTTTATGCCACCACCAGAATTTTGGTGAAATTTCACAGATCTATCTATGATTGTCCAAGTGCTATTCTCCATCACAGGCTTACAGTAAGAGAAAGTTAAAAAGGAGTTGAGCTAGGAAAAGAACAAACTTAAAAATAGTTTTGTATCAGATACAGTAAAACTGGACAAAGAAACTATTTTCAGAATACAGCATTTTTTTTTTTTTGCCTTCCCTACATAAACCAAATCAGTGGCTGCCGCAATCCAAGTATTCTAAACCACATCTTTGCTTTACTGATTTAGCAACATCTTGTCACCATTTTCCTCAGGGGAGTTTCAGTCATTAAACACTACCAGCAGCAAACTTTAGAAAATCTGAATGCCTATCTATTGTTTTTCTTCCATCATCAACGTATTGTGCCACGATCTTTGCTCTCCCTCCTCCAGTCCCTCAGTAACTATGTATGATTAAAGAAACCAGAGAAAGGGAAGAGCAGTGGGATGGGAAAAAAAGAACCTAGTTTTGCTCTTCTCAATTCAACTATGGTCTTGAAGAAGTTAAGTGTCCTGATTTTAATGCCCCCAACTCACAAAACTATTAGGAAAAACCACTTGTTTTCCCTATCTCCCATTAAATTCCTGAAAATTTTGTTCTCCCTTTGGGGAACCCTCTTTTCCCTCTTACTTTCTTACTTCTGTGGTGGATAGTAAGGCATTCTGAAAGGAGAAAGTCTCCTTGTTCCATCTTCATTTTCCTCTCAGCTGCTATGCTAGTTTCTTCATTTACTTCCTAGAATCCTACACAAGTGACTTCCACTCACTTTTTAAGCTTGTATTGCTGACTCTAAATTACAAGACTCAGAAGTAATGGATCAACCCAACAGGCAAAGCTTGCCACAGCCCTGATTTAAGAAAAGATCCTAGCTGTCAATATACCTAATTTGTAGAAAAGTTTCAGAAATAGAAGGAGGGGGAAAAAAAATAAAATCAAATGCGAGATGAGAAATACAAGTTTTAAAATAAAGATGCAGGTGTTCCACTGCAGTTTTTTAAAAGAATAAACTACACATTTCCTCCAAAGAACATCCCTTTTATTTTGTAAAGAGGTTACCTGAAGAAATACAGTTTAGAAAGAGATTCAAAACCAGAAAGGCTGTCACTGATTATGAAAAAGTTCTTACCTTTTTTAGCAGTTTCTCATTTCTCAGTCTTTCACATACTGTTGCCACTTCTGAACCTCGTGGTTCAAGTACTGAATTTGCTGTCAACTTTCCTAAATTTCTCAACAATGCAGAAATGGACATGTCCTTCAGCAATGCCTTCCAAACCTACGATCAAAGAAAGAAAAGGGAAAAAAGATGAGATTCCCAAACTACAAGAACTGTCATCTTGTATGTGAAATAAGTGTATTTTAAAATAAACGTAAGAGTTATACAAAGATCTGCATTATTTTAACTTAGCTACTTGGGTAAATAGCTTGAAAAACAGCATAAAGGCTATTTTTATGGAAATCTAGACTTAAGACTGTGAGAAGCGTTACTCTAGAGAGAATGAAGAGCTAATGAAGTTTACCTACCTCTTTAGATTTCAGATGGCTTGTCAGGAGATGCTCTCTAACTAGACCATACTCCTCTATTAAATGAATAACTTCCAATTCGTCTTTTGTGTGTTTTATTTTCTCCACAGCCTCCAGATACTTTAAGAGTTTTTCAGTCTCAGCAGAAACAGCTTTGTCTTTATAAGCCTCTTGGACATCTTTCCACCCTTTGGTAATATATTTAGTGACTATAGCAATTCCTATTGAAAAGAAAAATATTTTCCAAGCAGGATTACCATCTTTATACTGGCATTTATCATTCCAGCAAGAAAATGAGTTAGGAGGTTTCATTCTCAGACCTGTCAACCACCTATAAAAAAGGTCAGACACACACAACTTAGACAAGTCGTTTTAACTACTGTATTTGTCTTCTTAGAAGTAAGGAGCCAAACGAAACCAAACACATCTTCCCAAATAATGAAAAGTGTTATTTCATCATCTGTAAGCAAATAGGAACAAATTGAGGGAATGGTATTATTTTATCTTCTCTTGAGATAACAAGAAAAAGAAGGAACAAACAGTTTACCTTGAAGATTAACAGATCAATTTCTGATACGACCACTCGTATTTTTAGGGTATCACTTACAGGACAACCATCACTAAGCAATCACCAGTCTACAATGGTACTTGGGTTTCCAAAATAGTTCCAGAGTAAATAAAAAAGGTTTAAAACATGGTATTTTCAGGCAAACAAAAATTTATTACCTTCACTGGCAGGTTTTAGGTGGGACAACCTCAGAAGATCTTTATGAGACCAACCACTTCTTTGTTTATATTTTGTAACTGCTAAAGCAACAGCCATGCCATTCTTTCCATTGTACCAATCTGCAACAGCTTTCCTCAGTGCACGGCCCCACATGCCACATTTCATGCCCTCCTTCAGATCTTTTTTAAATTGGATGAAAGAAAAGAGATGGGTCGGTATGCAACACACCTCAGGAACAGCTTTAAATGCTGCTTGTTTTGTTTTTGCATCAGAACACTGTGAGCAAATTGCAAGAGCAAAAAGCAGGGGCTCTTGTTTTGCTGCTCTGCCTTCTTGACTAAATGTCTTTATTTCTTGGACAACTTCACAACCTCTACCCTCTTCAATCAGTCTTATTAATGCTGCTGCATTCTCAAAGCCCAGCTTCTGCTCCTTGATGTAGTAAGTACCACCTTCTGAACCAAAACACAAGAAACGTTGCAGTCGATTCATATCGGTGACATGCCACACGTAACCACTTTCAGAGTTCGGCACCTGCTTTTCATCCAGGAGTTGCACCGGCTTTTCCTCGTCCTCCATTGTTTACACTTCCAAGAAATCTGTTGAAAGAATAATAAAGTTTATTAAGAACTATTGTGAAAACCTCATGACTCTACTCTTTCATCACTTCTTCACAAAGCAAAAACATCTTATCTATACATTTGTAATTTTTCTTTCATAAATTTAACAAGAGTATACTCTAAGTGTGCAATAATACGTATCAGTTAGGGGAAAAGAAACAAACAAACAAAAAAATCTCTGAGTTACAATGGTGACAAATTTATTTCTTTAAAACCAACTTAGAAACTATTTAAATGCAAACAGTGGCACACAGAAAACATGGCTGGTGTTATGCCCTTTTGCCTCTAACATATTACACCACTTTCTTAGGTAGATTTTTGGATCGCATGCTAAACTGCTCAAAACACTGATCTTGTCCTACTCTATTTTGCTGAAGAATTGGTAATATTGACCAACTGAAGAAACATGATGCTAAAATAAAGAACTAAAATAGTGAAAAACTGTTTAGTCACAAGACTTTGTAAGAGTTTAAATAAGGTAAGTTTCAGTGAGGCTTAGACAACAGCATTTTAACAACTGACAGTAGCTCAGGAAAAAATTATCTTTATCACAGGCTCGAACAGTCTGCTTTTTCAAGTGAGATCCAAGAAAACACACAGACATAGCAACAAATTCCGTATTGCTTTACATTTGAGGTTAAGAAGCAAAAAACAGCACAAAAATTCACAATCTTTCAGGTCTCTTTATTTATGTACTTTTGAGTTGCAAGAGAGTTCAGCTGTAGTATTTGCAACAACACTGCTCTTACTTGGAGAACATCTAGCATGGTAAAATTCAAGCCGTAACATTTAAACTGAAATAAATGCAGGTGAAATGAAATCAGCAGGGTAAAGGGAAGAAAATTCATCATCATCACTATCCCCAAAACATTAATGTGACAACAATAAATTCAGTTTTCTCAGTTCTCACCAATCAATAAAAAGATACTAAATAGCACCAAGAGGCCCTTCAAAAAAAAAAAAAAGAGCACCAATAATCCACTCCATCACACTGCATATAGATCTTAAAATATGCACACATTGAAGTCTGAGCACACACAAATGACATTTCAAAGAAATACACTTAACAATTTTTACGTATTGCAGATACCTACTCCTGACAAGCTTGCTTGGATACTGGAGATAAAAGCCATTTTGCTTCATTTGCCAGGACAAGCTAGCATAAAAAAAAGTCAGTCATGTAGACAGAGATTTTTTACTTACCCAGACTGTGGAAACACATGGATTTACAAAAGACTTCCCTAGTTTCTCTTTGACACAGAATTTTCGTTTCTCTGCAAGCAACTAGAAATGTACCCCTCCTCCATTCTTGCCTATCTGCAGTGATGTGCTGTCTGCATCCAGAACTAAATAATAAATAATCAGTGTTCCCTTTATATTCCATATGCTGCTAAAAATCATAAAAATAGAAGCCATATGCTGATAACTGGTTTTAAAAATGCAGGTTTCAGTAAAAAATTAAGAAATATCTTTCATCGTATTATTCAGACCATCAGAATTCAGCTATTTTTCTTAGTGCTTAAATATTCTAACCATGTTTCCTGCCAAACGAATTTAAATACACGTCATGGTTGAGTTGACTTTTTCACTGACATTTGAAGGATGCAAATACAGTGAAAATAACAAAGGTGGTATTCGCAATGCATGAATACCATATCAGTACATATTAATGTCTAAATACATTTTATTTCAATACATTTCAATTAGCTGGTTTCATTAAACAGCAGGTAATGTTTCCTAATAAACATACAAAGCCCAAACAAAAAAAATCCTGAAATCACAGTCAGCATCCATTAGTTTATTTATCAGAAAAAAAAAAGGTATGTGGAAAGATACTGAAAAACACCATTATCTTGAAGCAAAAATACGAATGGGAAGCATAAAGGATCATGCATGAGTAACAAGATCTCCATGTATATGAGATCTTGAGAGTAACTTCTTGTCGCATCTTTCATATCCCTGCTATAATAAATATTACTACATTAAAATGAGACTAATGGGAAAACTCTTTTCAGTCACCAATGGATTACCAAGACTTAAACCGAACTGGAAGGACCATGCTTTTGGTTAAACAAGACATTTATGCTCTCCCTTTATTTGCTGATTACATTAAGAAATACCAGTGCTACTTTGAATATTCTACATTTTTCCATTTGCACACGTTCCATCTGATATGTCCATTTCATTTTAATTCTCACTTGGAGAGCCTCACTTGTCCTCACATGTTTAGTTGTATAGTCACCAATAAAATTAGCTACTATTGTCATCACCACCCTGAGTATGGGAACAAAACCTAAATGAAATAATTATAACGTTTCTAAAATTACAACTAACATTTATCTGGTTTGAAATCTAGATTTATTTATAAAATACTGTAACACAGGATCAGTATTTCCATCAAAGGTATCATCCTGAAAGTTCACTACCTCCTTGTTACATGTGAATATGTAGTGTGATGTTAATTGTATTGTGTGAAAGAAGTTTAGAGCTAACCATCAGAGAAAAAAACTCTGCTGCTGCACTTCTCCATCACACTATATAACAAATCTAACTTATGCACGTTAATAATGGATAATTTTTATGTTTACTTTTGTAGGGACTCATATCACTGAAGAGGGGTATGTGCTAGCATCCATAGGCTTCTGACACAAAAGCATATTTTAAAAGATAGTTGCAAATGTACACTTTTAGTTCTTCTGAAGCTTAGCTCTTTAATTTGCCTTCTTAGGAATATACTATGAGCTACAAAAACAGATGCTGTCACAATTTCCACCTTTTGTAAAGCTTCATTTTCACTCAGCCCTCAAAGGCTTCTCAGATGGAACACCGTATTTCACAGAGGAATGAATTACCTGCAGTGCTTATCCCATTAGAAATGCCTATGACAAATCTTCTGAAAGCTTTAATAAGGTTATTAATGCCTTCTGATAAGCAATCTAGGATACAAAACAGACTTATCTCAAATGGCTTATTGCTGCCTCAGGGATTTAAAAAGAGCTTCAAAACAACATAATCTTTCGGATCCTAACAGGAATTGTAAATTCTTTAAAATAAATTTCTATTTTAAAAATTACCATTGAAATCTGCAATAGCTCATGCAAACCAGTAACTTCACTACCAAACAGCCATACTAGAAGTATTAAATTTAAACTTCACTAGGATCTACTGGAAAAGCACTTATTCAGCGTTGAACTACTTAATTCATACTGGCCATTTCTAACTCTTGTTTTATATTTCAACCTCACAAGTTCCCAAAGCTATTCTCTTCCTCTAACCAGTCACTCTCCTCTGCCCTAACCTCAAGCTTATTCTCCCCTTTAACATCTGTACAACACAGACAACTTTCACCCTCGCAGATGGATAAACACAAATATGCACTTAACAGGCTCTACCATAACCCTACTCTTCATCTGCTGGGCTGCAGCAGTGAACCTGAATTTCAAACACTCATGGAGGATTTATCAGTGACATTCTGGCTCCATAAGCATTTCCAATTTCTAAGCTAGTGGAATGCAAATAGCAATGTGAAAACCCTTGAAAGTCACAGACTAGATACTTTATAATGAAAATTGCTGAACTAAAATTCATGGTTGCTCAACATTATTAATGAAAGAGAAAAAACACTAAGGGCTTTCTTTTTATATTCCAAAGACCATATATATTAATTTATCAGTAAAATATGGCTTTGATTGGCCTGAAACAGCCTATACAGCACTTACATCTTGATTGGTAAGTCAATATACTTAAGTTGCTGTACCATAACATGACTGAGTTTTGTAAGTTAACTTCTGTTATTTTCTATGACTTTTACAATTCACTCCTAGTCTTCCTAAGAAATAAAATGTCTTACAGTACAAGTTTCAGGTACATATAAAAAAAAAAAAATACAAAAAGCACAAAGCTTTACTAGAACTACAGGTTCCAACTTAAGTTCTTAAATTTAACTGCTGTGTTAACAATGATGAATCAAACTTTGTAGTGAAAATATATGGAATTAAATTTTGACCAAGTCAGATCTTTTATGACAGAAGTGCATTGACATTTTAAAGACAACAATTCAAATTGTCTTCAAATACTTCAAAACTATATATACTTTGTTCTATAAGAAACTGCATCCTCCCACTCTGCTCTCAAAATTTTGCATAAGCATTAAACTGAAAATTATAGAGAATGTCTCCTAGTTTATTAAGCAGAGAGACCATAACCATCAGATTGAGCTATGGTTCTAACAAAGTAAATCTGCACTACAGCAGAGCTCTGACAACAGCAGAAGTCCTCATACTTCAGAAAACAAGCATCTCTATGTAAACATAGGCTATATGAGAACATTTCCCAAAGCACAAATGGAAAGACACAGGCCTGTTGGAGCAGGTCCAGAGGAAGGCCACAAAAATCATCACAGGGATGGAACACCTCTCCTATGAGGACAGACTGAAAGAGTTGGTGGTGTTCAGCCTGGAGCACAGAAGGCTCCAGGGAGACCTTATTGCAGCCTGCCAGTACTTAAAGGGGGCCTATAAGAAAGATGGGGACAAACTTTTTAGCAGGGCCTGTTGCGATAGGACAAGGGGTAATGGTTTTAAGCTAAAAGAGGGTAGATTTGCACCAGATATAAAGAAGAAATTTTTCACAGTGAGGGTGGTGAAACCCTGACCCAGGTTGCCCAGAGAGATGGTAGATGCCCCATCCCTGGAAACATCCCAGGTCAGGCTGGACAGGGCTCTGAGCAACCTGATCTAGTTGAAGATGTCCCTGCTCACTGCAGGAGGGTTGGACTAGATGACCTTTAAAGGTCCCTTCCAACCCAAACTATTGACTATATGAACCACATACTTGCTCAAAAAATTCTAGTACGGAATTTGCTTAAAAAAATTATTGACTGGAAGGTAGAAGGTAGCTTAACTGACGTAGAACAAAATTATGAGGAAAAAGCATCTAAAGTTGATACCGAAAACCTGT